TCAAGTGTTACAAGCAGCTGCCCTGCAACCAAATAAGTCTGCTCAAGAAGCTGAATTGACAGCTCTAACTGTGGCTTGCAAATTGTCTGAAGGGTTGCGTGCCAACATTTACACGGATTCAAGATATGCCCTGGGAGTAGCACATGATTTTGGCTTAATTTGGAAGACCAGAGGATTTCTTACGGCCACTGGTACCCCAGTAAAGCATGGGACAGCCATTGCAGAGCTGATGGACGCATTGGAACTTCCAGCTGAGGTGGCAGTACTGAAGGTAAAAGCCCATGGAAGACTAGACACAGAAGAAGCACGTGGCAATCACCTGGCTGATCAAGCAGCTAAAGAAGCAGCACGGCAAAGATGGGAAGTGGACAGAAGAGTGGCCACAGATACACTGCCTATCTATACTATGCAAACATTGCCTACAGACCTCAGGCTTCTGAAGGAACAACAAGCTGCTGCTACTCCCCAAGAGAAACAAGGTTGGAAGAACAAAGGAGCTATACTCCGTGATGATGTTTACACCATTAATCTCAAGTTCTGCCTACCCAGAAGTATGTACCCAGCGGTGGTCCAATGGGCCCATGGACCAGCTCATCTGTCAAAACTCCTGATGAATTCACTGATTGACAAATATTTCGAAGCACCAGGCATCACCACCTTAACACAACATTACTGTAAGTCATGTACTATATGTGCTAAATGCAATCCTGGAAAGATTATAAAGACTGCACCTAATCACCTAGCCAAGCCGCAATATCCCTTCCAGAGGATCCAGATTGATCACATTCAGATGCCAAAGAGTGGACGTTATGAATATGCATTGGTCATAGTGGACATGTTTTCAGGATGGCCAGAGGCCTTCCCAGTGACTAATCTCACCGCGAGGACTACAGCCAAATATCTCTTGACAGAAATTGTTTGCCGCTATGGGGTTCCAGAAGTAATTGAAAGTGACCAAGGGACCTCCTTCACTGCCTCGCTAACACGGGAAGTCTGGTCAGCACTGGGGGTGACCCTTGCATTCCACACACCATATCACCCACAGAGTAGTGGTAAGGTAGAGCGCATGAATGGCACTTTGAAAGCCAGAATGCTTAAAATGTCACAAGAAACTAACATGCCCTGGCCCGAGAGTCTTCCACTAGCGTTATTCAGTGTAAGGTACACTCCCAGAGGAAAATACAGTTTGTCACCTTATGAGATTTTGTTTGGTACAGCACCCAGGTTAGGTTGCTACTTTCCCCAACAGCTTCAGATTCAGTCAGACGCTATGGTAGACTATGTGACTGCCCTTTCACATGCCTTGACCAAGATACATGCCCAAGTGTTTTCTTCTATTCCAGATCCTGAGTCGAATACAGGTACACACAAGCTGCTTCCAGGTGATTGGGTTATGGTTAAGAAGTTCCTCAGGAAACACACCCTAGAACCGAGATTTGATGGTCCTTATCAAGTGCTCCTGATTACAGCAACGTCAGTTAAGCTAGCTGGAAAAAGTTCCTGGATACACGCTTCACATTGCAAAAAAGTGCCTGCTCCAGGAGAAGCTGATCTTGTTGAAACATGAATTTATTATGTGTCTTGTGTTTTCTTGTATTGTTGCATTTTGCCTGGGCCCAACAAGTGGCCATAACCAAAGATAATCATGTTTACACTTTCTGGTACAATTCTTCTGATACTGATGTAGCTACATACACCTTTGATTACTGTGACATAGTTACCTGTACATTCCCACAGACACAACATGCAGCCATATACAAGGACATACCTGACAAAAAGGACCCATACATTTGTGTGACTGGAGGCGCTTGGGGACACCACTGTAGTTCATGGAAAGCTGCCGGGTGGAATACAGGTAGACCATGGGGCTACAGACCTCAGGTTGCACTAGACAGACTTGACAAAGGCGGGAAGCCCCTACTTTCTAGAATGACTCTTAGTAAACCCACAGGGTCAACTCCCATTAAACTTACCTTGAATATAGAACACCCTAGTCCAAGGGACGTGGGGGAATATGTGATGGGAATGTACTGGAAGGGAGGTGGCTCACACAATGCACTGGGGACATTCTACCTGCAAGACATGCTCACCTCCCCCGACTGGGTGGGGACCACTCACATGATCGTTAACCCGTTAAAACCACATATTAAGACCCTACATGACATGGTAGCTATAGCCAACCCCACCTTTGAAGACACTATGGCAGTGGAAACTGGTTTTTCAGACACTAATTTATGGCTAGAATGGATGAGGTATAATGCCAACTCACACAATAAGACCAATTGTTACGTGTGTGGGGGAGCCAGGCCCCATCTGGGCACAGTTCCTCTGAATTTACCTCCTGAAGTAGAATCATGTGTTCTGAGCCTTTACACACAGTCCGTCACCAATTCTTCGACATGTGAATCGTGGAAGAGAATTTACCCGATCACTCACGGACATGTAAAACCACCTGATGGAGTCACCATCTACCCAGGTAATTACACATGTTATACAATATCTAAAAACACCGGTTTGTATTTGGGCAAATTCCCATCAGGATATTGCTCAACTTACCATAATCCACCCGTATTGCTGCTAATGAACCACACAAAGACAATCGGCGACATCTATTGGTTATGTGGGGATAAACAATTGAGGTCCCAATTAATTGGGCAATGGTGGGGGGAGTGTGCCCTAACCAAAGTCATAATGCCTATCCATATCATTCCAGATGGTGACCATAACACGTTAAACCTCACACATGCACACTCTAGAACCAAACGAGAGACTCCTATTCGGGGGAGTTTCGACCCCCATGTGTATATTGATGCCATAGGTGTGCCAAGGGGGGTGCCTAACGAATTCAAAGCAAGAGATGAAGTGGCTGCAGGATTTGAGTCCCTAATTCCAATGATAACCGCTAACAAAAATGTCAATTGGATTAACTATATTTACTATAATCAACAGCGTTTTGTCAACTACACTAGGGATGCCCTACAGGGCCTGGCAGAGCAACTACAAGCCACTACCCAAATGACATTTCAGAACAGAATGGCCCTAGATATGATTTTAGCTGAGAAAGGGGGTGTATGTAAAATCCTCCCTGAGACCATGACATGCTGCACATACATTCCAGACAACACTGGGCCCAATGGTAAGGTGACTATGGCCATAGAGAAGCTAGATAGTCTCGCAGACGAGCTAAAGAAAAATTCAGGAGTCATCGACCCTTGGGACAGATGGTTTGGATGGATGAATGGTTGGCAAAGGACCCTCTTCCAGGTGGGGACAGCTGTTTTCATAATGATCGTTATTTTCTTATTTCTGACCTGTTGCATATTCCCCTGCATACAGAAGTATTTACAGAAAGCGGTGGACAAGACTATAGATGACGTGACCCCTACTTTCATACACCAAGACATCACAGACCTCGAAGATGATACTCCACATACACCCCTTCAATCACATCAGTTCAAACAAACAACTGCTTTCCTATAGGGACAGTATAGGGAAAGTGTCTGTCTTAACTGGCGAGTCTCACGTGTGGAGATGTAGTGGACTAGCCACTGCGGGTTACCCACGGAGTGAAGTGTTCGATGCTAGTTAAGGCAGATAGGTTGCAGGCAACTAGGGACATACTAGGGACAGTAGCAGTTGTTATGGTAAATAGCCATTTTAGGGGGGACTGTTGTGGAAATAAGGTCTACACATATTTCCTAGTTAGTGAAAAATGTCTATTTACTCATTTCACGTTATATATATATATAGCTAAGCACACATGTTATAATCAAGATGGCTGCTAGAAGCTTCTAGCTCCTTCCCCCTCCCCTCCCTTTCTTCTTCCTAACATTGACTAACTACCTCGTGCACCAAGATGGCGCCGGGAAACCGTGGGAGACCCTCATGGCCCCGGTGACATCACCTACAGTAGGCAGAGCATTGAAGCAACCACTTAACACCTAACCAATTATTGATGTATTATTCCATGTTATCTCTGACAATGCTTATGATGTAATTTTGCTTTAAAAGGGACCTGCCGTCCCCTCTGAATAAACATTCCTCAAGTTATTCAACAACCTGGAACCTGTGTCTGGTGTGAATTACTTCAGGGAGCGTGCACGCATTGTTTCATTGATTTGGCCAGGGGCAGATACACAAAGAAATAATCAATACTTTTAATTGATTTTTCCATTTCAAAGAGGATAACACTCAATGGGAGCCCTGGCACTCCTAGCACCATAACCACTGCAACACCCAGCACTATAACCACTGCAACAGCCAGCACCATAACCACGGCAACACCCAGCACCATAACCACTGCAACACCCAGCACCCATAACCACTGTAACACCCAGCACCATAACCACTGCAACACCTAGCACTATAACCACTGCAGCACCCAGCACCATAACCACTGCAACACTCAGCACCATAACCACTGCAACTCCCAACACCATAATCACTGCAACACCCAGCACCATAACCACTGCAACACCCAGCACTATAACCACTGCAACACCCAGCACCCATAACCACTGCAACACCCAGCACCCATAACCACTGCAACACCCAGCACCATAACCACTGCAACACCTAGCACCATAACCACTGCAACACCTAGCACCATAACCACTGCAACACCCAGCACCATAACTACTGCAACACTCAGCACCATAACCACTGCAACACTCAGCACCATAACTACTGCAACACTCAGCACCATAACCACTGCAACACTCAGCACCATAACCACTGCAGCCCGCTGTATTATTAATCCCTGTGTCAATAGTAAGGTGGATAAGGACGGACAGACAGACAGCTCACTTCATCTTCCTCTCCAGTTGCAGATCTTCGGCGACCCGCTGACTGTCAGCCATGGCCGGATTGCTCTCCACCAGCTCCTGTCCGCCGCAGGCTCTCTGCGATCATTGTCAACAAATGGTGACAATGCGTCGCCATGGCGACAGTAACCCAAGCACGTGACTCGCGAAGAGCGTAGAGTCCTAAACAGAAGAGCGGCTCCTCAGGCGAACGAGTGGAGTCTCCAGTTCTATGGCCGCCGCCGCCACGACACGGACGTCTTACTACTCAGCATTTAGAACTCTGTGTGGAATGATAGCGTGTGACTGTGTTAGCGCTGCCTGGCAGAGGACGGGGACCCCAGTGACGTCACGCGCTGTTTGGCGGTCGGTCTGGAATGGACGCCGAGCAGAATGCGGATAATCTGCGGGTTTACAGCGGGATGGCGGCCGCCCTGGGTAATACACCGCGAGGCTACATGATGGACCATTCATTGCCCAGTACCCAGCCTTTAACCCCTTACTGACATGGTGTCATAGCTGCACTGATTAACCCCTTACTGACACGGTGTCATAGCTACAATGATTAACCCCTTACTGACACGGTGTCATAACTACAATGATTAACCCCTTACTGACACGGTGTCATAGCTACAATGATTAACCCCTTACTGACATGGTGTCATAGCTGCACTGATTAACCCCTTACTGACGTGGTGTCATAGCTACAATGATTAACCCCTTACTGACGTGGTGTCATAGCTACAATGATTAACCCCTTACTGACACGGTGTCATAGCTACAATGATTAACCCCTTACTGACATGGTGTCATAGCTACAATGATTAACCCCTTACTGACACGGTATCATAGCTACAATGATTAACCCCTTACTGACACGGTATCATAGCTACAATGATTAACCCCTTACTGACACGGTATCATAGCTACAATGATTAACCCCTTACTGACACGGTATCATAGCTACAATGATTAACCCCTTACTGACACGGTGTCATAGCTGCAATGATTAACCCCTTACTGACATGGTGTCATAGCTACAATGATTAACCCCTTACTGACACGGTATCATAGCTACAATGATTAACCCCTTACTGACACGGTATCATAGCTACAATGATTAACCCCTTACTGACACGGTATCATAGCTACAATGATTAACCCCTTACTGACACGGTGTCATAGCTGCAATGATTAACCCCTTACTGACACGGTGTCATAGCTACAATGATTAACCCCTTACTGACACGGTATCATAGCTACAATGATTAACCCCTTACTGACACGGTATCATAGCTACAATGATTAACCCCTTACTGACACGGTATCATAGCTACAATGATTAACCCCTTACTGACACGGTGTCATAGCTACAATGATTAACCCCTTACTGACACGGTGTCATAGCTACAATGATTAACCCCTTACTGACATGGTGTCATAGCTACAATGATTAACCCCTTACTGACACGGTATCATAGCTGCAATGATTAACCCCTTACTGACATGGTGTCATAGCTGCACTGATTAACCCCTTACTGACACGGTGTCATAGCTGCAATGATTAACCCCTTACTGACATGGTGTCATAGCTGCACTGATTAACCCCTTACTGACACGGTGTCATAGCTGCACTGATTAACCCCTTACTGACACGGTGTCATAGCTACAATGATTAACCCCTTACTGACGTGGTGTCATAGCTACAATGATTAACCCCTTACTGACATGGTGTCATAGCTGCACTGATTAACCCCTTATTGACGTGGTGTCATAGCTACAATGATTAACCCCTTACTGACACGGTGTCATAGCTGCACTGATTAACCCCTTACTGACACGGTGTCATAGCTGCACTGATTAACCCCTTACTGACACGGTGTCATAGCTGCACTGATTAACCCCTTACTGACGTGGTGTCATAGCTACAATGATTAACCCCTTACTGACGTGGTGTCATAGCTACAATGATTAACCCCTTACTGACGTGGTGTCATAGCTGCACTGATTAACCCCTTACTGACATGGTGTCATAGCTGCACTGATTAACCCCTTACTGACGTGGTGTCATAGCTACAATGATTAACCCCTTACTGACGTGGTGTCATAGCTACAATGATTAACCCCTTACTGACGTGGTGTCATAGCTACAATGATTAACCCCTTACTGACATGGTATCATAGCTACAATGATTAACCCCTTACTGACATGGTGTCATAGCTACAATGATTAACCCCTTACTGACATGGTGTCATAGCTACAATGATTAACCCCTTACTGACATAGCTACAATGATTAACCCCTTACTGACATGGTGTCATAACTGCAATGATTAACCCCTTACTGACATGTAATGATTAACCCCTTACTGACATGGTATCATAGCTGCAATGATTAACCCCTTACTGACATGGTGTCATAGCTGCACTGATTAACCCCTTACTGACATAGCTACAATGATTAACCCCTTACTGACATGTAATGATTAACCCCTTACTGACATGTAATGATTAACCCCTTACGGATATGTTATCATTGCTACACTGATTAACCCCTTACTGACATAGCTACAATGATTAACCCCTTACTGACATGGTGTCATAGCTACAATGATTAACCCCTTACTGACATGGTATCATAGCTGCAATGATTAACCCCTTACTGACATGGTACCATAGCTGCAACGATTAACCCCTTACTGACATGGTACCATAGCTGCAACGATTAACCCCTTACTGACATGGTATCATAGCTGCAACGATTAACCCCTTAGTGACATGGTATCATAGCTGCAACGATTAACCCCTTAGTGACATGGTATCATAGCTGCAACGATTAACCCCTTAGTGACATGGTATCATAGCTGCAACGATTAACCCCTTACTGACATGGTATCATAGCTGCAACGATTAACCCCTTACTGACATGGTGTCATAGCTGCAACGATTAACCCCTTCCTGAGATGGTATCATAGCTGGAATGATTAACCCCTTCCTGAGATGGTATCATAGCTACAATGATTAACCCCTTACTGACATGGTATCATAGCTACAATGATTAACCCCTTACTGACGTGTCATAGCTGCACTGATTAACCCCTTACTGACGTGGTGTCATAGCTACAATGATTAACCCCTTACTGACGTGGTGTCATAGCTGCAATGCTTAACCCCTTACTGACATGGTGTCATAGCTGCACTGATTAACCCCTTACTGACATGGTGTCATAGCTACAATGATTAACCCCTTACTGACATGTAATGATTAACCCCTTACTGACATGGTGTCATAGCTGCACTGATTAACCCCTTACTGACATGGTCATAGCTGCACTGATTAACCCCTTACTGACTGTCATAGCTGCAATGCTTAACCCCTTACTGACATGGTGTCATAGCTGCACTGATTAACCCCTTACTAGCTGCAATGCTTAACCCCTTACTGACATGGTGTCATAGCTGCACTGATTAACCCCTTACTGACATGGTGTCATAGCTACAATGATTAACCCCTTACTGACATGTAATGATTAACCCCTTACTGACATGGTGTCATAGCTGCACCGATTAACCCCTTACTGACATGGTGTCATAGCTACAATGATTAACCCCTTACTGACATGTAATGATTAACCCCTTACTGACATGGTATCATAGCTGCACTGATTAACCCCTTACTGACATGGTGTCATAGCTACAATGATTAACCCCTTACTGACACGGTGTCATAGCTGCACTGATTAACCCCTTACTGACATAGCTACAATGATTAACCCCTTACTGACATGGTGTCATAGCTACATGATTAACCCCTTACTGACATGGTGTCATAGCTACAATGATTAACCCCTTACTGACATGTAATGATTAACCCCTTACTGACATGGTATCATAGCTGCACTGATTAACCCCTTACTGACATAGCTACAATGATTAACCCCTTACTGACATGGTGTCATAGCTGCAATGATTAACCCCTTAGTGACATGGTGTCATAGCTACAATGATTAACCCCTTACTGACATAGCTACAATGATTAACCCCTTACTGACATGGTGTCATAACTGCAATGATTAACCCCTTACTGACATGTTGTCATAGCTACACTGATTAACCCCTTACTGACAAAGCTACAATGATTAACCCCTTACTGACATGGTGTCATAGCTGCACTGATTAACCCCTTACTGACATAGCTACAATAATTAACCCCTTACTGACATGGTGTCATAGCTACAATGATTAACCCCTTACTGACATGTAATGATTAACCCCTTACTGACATGTAATGATTAACCCCTTACTGACATGTAATGATTAACCCCTTACTGACATGTTATCATAGCTACACTGATTAACCCCTTACTGACATAGCTACAATGATTAACCCCTTACTGACATGGTGTCATAGCTACAATGATTAACCCCTTACTGACATGGTATCATAGCTACAATGATTAACCCCTTACTGACATGGTACCATAGCTGCAACGATTAACCCCTTACTGACATGGTACCATAGCTGCAACGATTAACCCCTTAGTGACATGGTATCATAGCTGCAACGATTAACCCCTTAGTGACATGGTATCATAGCTGCAACGATTAACCCCTTAGTGACATGGTATCATAGCTGCAACGATTAACCCCTTACTGACATGGTATCATAGCTGCAACGATTAACCCCTTCCTGACATGGTGTCATAGCTGCAACGATTAACCCCTTACTGACATGGTATCATAGCTGCAACGATTAACCCCTTCCTGAGATGGTATCATAGCTGGAATGATTAACCCCTTCCTGAGATGGTATCATAGCTACAATGATTAACCCCTTACTGACATGTTATCATAGCTACAATGATTAACCCCTTACTGACATGGTATCATAGCTACAATGATTAACCCCTTACTGACATGGTATCATAGCTACAATGATTAACCCCTTACTGACATGTTATCATAGCTACAATGATTATCCCCTTACTGACATAGCTACAATGATTAACCCCTTACTGACATGTTATCATAGCTACAATGAGTAACCCCTTACTGACATATAATATGTAATGATTAACCCCTTACTGACACACATGGAATCATATATACAAATGATTAACCCTTTACTGACATATACCATGAGAAACCTCTTACTCACATAAATTACCACGATAAACCCCTTACTGACATACATGTCATCTTAAACAATGATTAACCCCTTACTGACACATGTAATCCTATATCCAATGTGCCACAATGTTACAAAGAGGATAAAGGAGCAAGTTAATGAGAAACGTAATAATAATTGCAAAAACCAAAAGGTGAAGGGGTCCATGCTCAAAGGAGCTTACATTCTGGGTGCCTTTATTATGATTTGGTTAAGAATGTAGAAATACTTTAGGTTGTTGTACTTAAAGTTCAACTGTCACTTCTGTTTTATAGGTAATATGCTTTTTGTACTGTTTTATACAATGGTGTAAATTCCAGAGTAGTGACCCTTTAATTTGCAACCTAGGCATTGGTTATTTTAGGGAGTAATGGTGGGTTATGTTCACGATGGTCTGGGATTGGTTGGAGACAGGGCCAGTGATGTAAACAGTGTCACTGATTCATTCGAAGGGGGTGTATGAACTCTGTGCACATTCATGTCAAGATGGTAGGCTGCCATATACTGCTGAGGTGCTTGCATATGGACTGATATGGCAATCCACTCTCAGACATCTCTATATATAGTGTTTGTATAAAACCACACACGTAAAATAAATATTGTTAAAAACATACACACACACTCCATCTATCTCTATCTTTTACTATCTATTTATATCCATCTATTTATCTCTACATCTATTTCTATCTATTTCTATCTCTCCCTCCCACACTCAGCCACCCGCCCACACTCACAATCACTCGCTCACCAACCCACACTCACTCACTCTGTCAGTCACCCACCCACACTCACTCACACACACTCAGTCAGTGACCCACACTGTCACCCGCCCACAATCACTCACTCAGCCACCCGCCCGCCCACACTCAGTCACTCACCCACACTGTCACCCACTCACCCTCAGCCTGCCACCCACCCACACCACACTCAGTCACCCACACCACACTCAGTCACCCATTGACTCACACTCACTAAATAAGTTTACTTACAGTTTGAATCCTCCCCTCCTGCTCGGTCTCCAGTCTTCAGTTTCAGCCGACTCTTGTGTGCTGATCTCCCACAATCCTGCGGTGCGGACAGCCTGCAGATAGGATGCTTGTGCACAGTGCTGCACAGAGCTGCCCTCTGTCTGCTGACAGCAGATCTGAGTGGATTGAGGCGTTTTAAGCCTCCATCAACTCGGAAGTCCCTCTGGTGGCAGTCTGAGTGACTGCAACTAGGGGTGTTCCTAGCTTTCAATGTAAACACTGTGTTTTCTCAGAAAATACAGTGTTTACATGAGAAAGGCTGCAGGGAGCTATAGTTCTCACCTGAAACACCTCATTAAGCTGAAGTTGTTCAGGTGACTATAGTGTCCATTTTAATGCTTGAATAGAAGCATTAGGCCCTCCCCATAGGAATGCATTGGTTCAATTCTTTCCTATGGGGCTTTTACTGACACTGGATGTCCTCATGCAGAGCATGAAAGTTGGTTAGCCGACAGAAAGTGGCTTTAGTGGCAGTATGATTGACAGCCAGTAGAGGCAGTCTTAGTCATGCAATGTAGTTATTGCAGTTTCACATTGCAGGGCTAAGTGGGACTGGAACACTGCACCCAGACCACTTCAATCACATGAAGTGGTGGGTGACTATAGTGTCCCTTTAAGTCCTGCATTACTTGCCAGACCTAAAAGTTGTTTGCAATCACAAAGCTCCTCTTGTGTGATTGCTGGGAATAGATAGGACCTTTGCTGATGTTTAGTAGAATGCTAACTCCAGCATGGAATATTTCTTTAACTGTTTCTGAGAATAAAAAAATATGGCATGGCCCACATTGATATTATGTTTTGTTTGTGATCTTTCAAGCAGTAGTCTTTCACAACTCCCACGCACAATTACTCCCTGGAATTTGAAAAGGTTTACGTCATCGGTGTCCAACCTTTTGGCTTCCCTGGGACACATTGAGCACAGAGGAATTGTCTTGGGCTGCACATAAAAGCTATAATATAAATAGTTTCTATAATATAACTTCAAAAGCCCTTTTCCTTAATTTGTTTATTAGATAACTTCCTTATTTGTTATCCTTTTGTGGGATTGCAACTTAGGGTGCTATCTACTATACATATGCACACATAACCACTCACAAAACAGACCTATACACACGATCACTGACTTGCGCACATACATACACAAAAATCAAATACACACACTTAGTACTAAAGAGGTCCACCCAGCCTCCCTACCGTGCTATGGGAGAGCTGCAATGGATCCCCTGTCCCTGGTGGCTAGCGGTTGTTGCTGGGCTGGGACCTCTGTGCTCTTCCTGCACAGGTTCCTCGCGCTCCCAGCAGTAATGCCGATGCTGGAATGATGTCATATCCCGGTGGCTGGCTCTCTGCAGGGTGCACCATGAGGACAAAATGTAAAGTGCTGCTCCCTGCCTCCCTCGTTACCCGACAGCCCGGACGACAACCAGGCTGCGCTGCTAGCGGTCCCGTGCCGCATTCAGGCCGCAGGTTGTAAACCCCTGGTTTAAGCAGTGGTCCTTAACTAGTTTTGATGGTAACAGAATTTGGTCCTGGGGTATCTCTGCGGCGTTAAATGAATCATGGAGCAGGTCCCACTAAGCATAAATAGATCTTGCATACATCCTACATAGTTAATCATCATTCCAGTTCTGGTTTAGTGACTTCATGAATTGAGAGTTACCGGTTATCATGGGCATAACTCTGAAACTTTAATTTGTGATTCTGGCATCTTGTGCTTAAAATATATTGAGTCTGGACTCCACTTGCAACCAGGCTTTCCTAGCAACTACCTCCATACGTAGGCTGAGGCACAAAGAAATTTACTAAGCATTGGGTATAAGGAGTCACAGCGCATCGGTTATGGGTTACATTGAATCCATCCTGTTGGCTATGGGACAGAGGACTTTATGCAATTGGCATGAGGCAGAGATAGACCCATTGTATGTCTGATACAGATTCTTCCATACAGTGCCAAAGCTACGTTTGGCATTTCATGTCCTATTACCCATGTTGTTGAGCCAGTCCAGGTAGGATACCTGTGTCTTTCTAGCCACATGCTATGAATATAATACTGAGCTCTTCAGAGCAGCAGCAAACCATATTACAATCGCAGGCAGCTTGTGCATATTCCATTGTGTGGGCCTGGAACTTCAGCTATGTTAATCTAGCCCTGCACCATCCTACAACCAATGAAAACAAATGGATGGACATTATTCACTGCCAAGCCTCTGTTTATCATCTGCCACAGACCTCGTGAGGGACTAGCAGGGATATTTTCTTAACCAGTTCTCTACTGGCAGCTTAAATAATGTGTAGCCAATGGTAAATATTACCGATTTTTGCTGTTTGGTAAGCAAGAACATCCGAATGTGCAACATAAACTGTTAGTTTGGTGCATTTTCAGCTTTTTCTATTATTAATATTTTAGTGAATAGTTTTATTTTAACAATTCTAGGAACCCAATAAGAATTTCAATATCTTTTGTCTCCCCTTACAGAGAAGCTAACCAGTGAAGCAACTGTTTTGGCTGAACATCACAAGAAAATGAAAGAGTACAATGTCTCCTTAAAACAATTAAACTCAAACTTTAATCAGGTACAGTATTATTAAAATATCTAATTATATTTTTTGTAACTGTTTCTAGAACATCATTAACATTTGATACAGATCCTAAATCCTCTTTCCTAACAGGTGTTTTCATCCTCTTAACCCTGTATTTCCCCTTTCTGCCCAGCGGTCCTGTTATATTCCCATACTCCTTTGCACCACATGTAAATACATTTCTTTGCAGATGTTCTTGGCACACCATGCTGCATCACATTCATTGTGTGCTTAGTGTCCCTTTTTCATTGATCTATCTGTCTACGACTTTAAATGGGCACAAAAAAGAGTAAGCTGTGCTGCAGCTATGCTAAAGTCATCAATCTCTTATCTCTGGGGTAATCCAAAGCTCCTCATAGAGAAGCAAAGGGGCCCTACAGGACACAGACAGCAATTGCAGCACTCAGCTAATCAGATGCTTCTTATTGAGACCCATTGTGATGCTGAATGTGAAGACTTTATCTTATTGAAAATTTTCAAAAAGACTTTTCTTGTTTGGCTGTCTCACAAATGTAAACATTGCTGCTTCTCACAAACAGCAATGTTTCCATTTGTCAGAATGTTCATCAAAATTCCTACACTGAAGTCGAGGTTTTATGTATAATTTTATGCTGTACTTTAATTTTTAGGTCCAGTCAAGGCTTGAACGTGTTGCAGCTATTAAACCAGGATTCAGCAAAGTCAATTTATGAGGAGATGTCCTGTGCACAGTTTATTTGTAAATATTTTCCTTTCTTTGAATGATTTTTATAAACCTCAAAAACAAAATTGCCATAACCATTTTTTTTTTTTTTAAAAAGGATGTCATCTATTTTGCAAGGTTTGTTTGTGATTAAACTATTCCCTTAAAATTGAATTTAAAAAAAATAAAGTTAAAATATCCAAGCTCTGGGTGAATTTGAGAATATTTCCAACTTTGTTATTGTACCTTACATTTCACGATTTATTTTTCCGTATTTACTAAACCACCGTTTTCTACGTATGTTTAAAAAAAAAAAAAAAAAAGGTAATTAAAGGAACAACCCATTATAGGTTTGACTTTATATCTGGAGTCAGCCAGGCACCACTCCCCACCTCCACTGTCAATTACAGAGCCAAGTCATGCAGGGCTGGCTAATTAGCTGATGTCTCTCAGCCAATGGGCTGTGTCCTGCACGACCAGTTTTACCACTTACAATGAGGGGGTGCCAGCACACACTCTAATGTGCTGTAGTGGTTATGGTGCTCTTAGTGTTCCTTTAGTATGGATCTTGAAAAAGCCCACTAAGAGGGGCGAAACGTGTTGATTAGGTGATCCATCATCCTGCATTTTATCTTGTTTTACTGTCAACACTCTGCATGACAAGTTTTTATGCAAACCGGAGGCAGAATTACAAAGAGGAGAACTTTTACTGAATCCACAGCCAGCCTTGAAGCAGAGGAGAGATAAGACTGCAGCCAGATAAGCTTTTATTGTGGTCCTTAGAGATAAGCACCACATTTTTCTTCTGTAAGGGTTCCTATGTTGGGGAGGGGGATTCCATTGGTGTTTTAAGACATTAAATACAGTATTGCACTATATATATTCTGTCTTTTTTAAAGGATTCAAAGTCAAAGATTGTGTTCCCAAACAACACTGTGGACCTCCTGTCACTTTGGACCCTGCTACATATTTTATACTGGACTGAGATACAATTTAGATTTTTTTTGTTACAATCTGATTACTATCACTTATATTGACACTTAACACTGTATGCTATTGCTGTTTCTAATTATTATAGATACATTTGTTAAGACCTTTACCCCTGATTACACATAAAATACCTAGAGGACAACTTATCCGTATTAGTTGTACCACATTTTTCTACACAAGATGTAGTTTAAAGCAAAGATTTTGGAAAAAGCTTATACATTAGATTATGACAGATGAGTCAGACATCTGGATAAATAAACCACTATTCTCAAAGGGGCTCATGTCATTTTGGAAGAAAATGTTTGCTGGCTGTTCCCTTCTCCCCTAACTGCGAGTCATCATAATCAAACTTTATTTTACTAAAATAAGGAAATATATGAACAAAAATAAAGCAATAAGGGCTGCCAAAGGCTAACTGAAAATAAATTCCATTAGAAACATTTGTTTAAAAAACAGACTAAACAGTTTAATAGAAATAATGACAGCAAGTTTAATACAGGCTGTATTTAGAACTATAGTAAATTGCTTCAAATACATTAAACTTCTCACATCTTTAAAAGGTGCTGAATTGAATTATTCAGCAAATGTAAGCTAGTATTGCTAAATCTAAGGCACACAGCAATGATTTAGGGTTTTGTTTTTCCACGAAGTGCCAGAGGTTATAACATTTGCAAATTGTGTAGCATGTTTTGTGCCATGCATGTGGATATTGACCTGCCTCTTGGAACATGAGAACACGCTTAAAGGGAAAGTCTTACATTAGGTTTTGCTTGGCTGTCATGGCTTGCCATTTATTACGGATTATCTCAGCCAATCCAATGCTTGTCCAAAAAGAGGCATTGAGGGGCCTACTGCAAATGTGCAGCAATTGTCTCTGCATCAATTAGCATCTCGTCATAGAGATGCATTACATGAGTGCATGGGGGGGAGCATTCAGCCTCTTCATGCGGAGTGTAAGAATGCTGAAGGGCAATAGTGCAGGGCCATAATAATAAGCACCACTAGTGGCTAACTGATAGTAACGGTGTTCTTAGGGACAAATGTAAACACTGCCTTCTTAGAGAAAAGGCAGTGCTTATAGAGCAGTGAGTACAGTCAGGCTCTTTGCACCAAAACCACTACATTAAGCTCTAGTGGTATGGTTTCTTACAGTGTCCCTTTAATGCATATATACACTGCCCATCTTTCCTCGGACAGGAAGTATAGTCAGTGAACAGGTGGTGTCAGCAGAAGCAGTTTGGCAAAATGCTCTTTAGAACACAAATCCATGAACAGTGCAATAAAATCATAATTCACTTTCCTGATCCCAGGAGTTAAAGGGGAATTCTAAAGCACCATAACTGCCAATCACTGCGGCAGTTATGTTATCAGCACACCCAATGGCCATTCTCTGGTTATGGGAAACTGTTTTCAAATGGTTTGGCACAAAGTGTTCCCTGGCCTGGCCCCTTGCGATGAAGATGGCTAATGAAGAAATGCTACTTTCATATTGGCAATATGATTTTGAAATTAGCTGACCTGCTAAGCCAATGAATGCCATTGAGATGTGGACAGAATTTATATTTCTAATGTGTAAGTGCAAAGCCTATGCTTTTGACATCTGAGAAGATCCTCTGTGCCAGGCAGTCAAAGTGTTTAACATGTAACCAGGGGATAGAGCCAGGAGATGACTGGCACCAGTTATGATGCTTAGAATGCCCTTTAATCTTTTACAGTGCTAATCAGTAAAACCAATAGTCTTTATTGCACACAAGTAGATATTGTTTTAGTAGCAAATGCAGTACACTTACTATACCCAGGGTAATCTAAAAGAACTAGATTAGGGTTTAAATTCCCCTTCATTGGTTTGATGCACACAGTTTGCTTGTAGATAAATGGGTACTAAAACACGCATATAGGAAATTTCACATATCGGACACAACTGTGTAAACTTTGAAAAAGGAATGCTTTATTGGATTACAGTTCTCCTGTTCAACCTTTAAAAATAAATATAATACATAAAGCTGTCAGATAAGCTATGGATCTGGGGTCATCAGTAATTGCATACTTCAGAACAGTTAATCCTGTCAATCCAAACCACACTGCTTATTAAATATACTCCAATAAGCTACACTTTAAATGAGGGGAATAATTATAGAATGATTATTCTATAAAATCCATTGTAGAGGTAAGGACTAGAATGTCAGTGAAACTGAATTAAGGGATCTTTGCCTGGAAAAGGTTTTAAAAAATATTAACTTTTCATAAATATGTTCCTATTACTTTTGTTTGTAATAAAAGTAATACTTATTTTCTGGTTCAAAACATACAATATATATTTTTCATAAAATATTATATAAGGTTTTTTTGTGGTGTGTTTACAATGTGTGTTACAATTATTATCTGGAGCTTAGTCTCATTAAAAAAATGTTTGCGTCATGTTATACAACTAATGAGAACAATATGCATAGTACTGCACAGGCTATAGGGAGCCAGTGGCGGCTAACCAATTATAAGATACCAGCATGTGTAGAGATGCAGTTACAGTAAACCATCTTTGCTGACAGTACAGCAAGTCGTTTTAGTAAGCTGTAGTGTATAAATTAAAATGTTAATAAAACACCATGGTCATTTTAAAATTAGCGACCGTTATCTACGAACTTAGTTTGTTTTAAGATAGTATGGGTGTACAATTCTCAGTGTGTTATTTTATTACATGTTTTGCAATAAATATGGTGAGAATTAAATACTTGGAAAAAAAAAAAATTTACTCTTTACCAGGTGTGCCCAAAAGGTAGATCCCCAGATGTTTGAAAACTACAGCGTCCATGATGCTTTGCCACTCAAAGCATCACGGGAGTTGTGGTTTTAAAACATCTGGGCATCTTCCTTTTTGGCACCCCTGCTCTATACTTTAGGCAATTCTAAAAGGCACAGGTTCACAGTCAGTCTTTAGGACACACAGCTATAGACGCTCCATTCCTAAATCTGTACTGCTTAAAAACTTCCTGAGAACAAAATGAAATTTTTTTGGGGGTGTTTGTGTGCACACGCATGTGCAGACTGGAATGACACACCAGCTTTATCTAGAGTTCAAACCAGATACCAATGTAAAGCTCCACACCATCTGCTATAACAGTAAAGGCCTTTACTGTGCTAGAAGCAAAAGCTTTGTCAAGAGGCGAACCAAGACTTATCGCCTGGGACGTCCACACAGAGTAAGTCAATTCACACATTAAGGCAAGGTTAAATGATTAGAAGGATCAGTGTGGTGGTCCCTCTTTTTTGTCTTCCTTCTCAATTATTTTGTAGTCGTTGAGGATCACGTGACTGGTTTCCTTCGCAGTTTTCTTTACAATTGCTTTGATTCCAAGATGATCAATATTAAATGCGGTTACTCCAACATTGATGGCAGAATTCATAGCATTGTCTGTGGCGTGGCCAGCGTCTTTGCCAAACCTGCATCAGAAACCAAATGCATTTCAGAATCATCTAATTTTAAATTAAACTTAATGATCAAGTTTGGCCTGGAAATTGTCAAAATCACCAAACCTCAATCATGCCAGTTACAGTAACTAAAACTGTTGGTTCACTTTAAAATGGGGTAGATTTATCAATGTAGCCTTGGTGTAAGGATATTTAGATCCTACCAGAGATTTTCTACCTTGAAAGTATTGTTTTTACTCCTCTGAGGAGTACCCTGCCTTACTGGCTATAGAGAATACAATTATCTTTGTATATGTGTGGCTGGCATCACATTGATAGATCTCCTCCAATTTATAGTATTGGAAATCATTTTGAAGGATGATTTAAACATTTATTTTATTTTTTAAATCAAGCAAAATACAATCATGAATATTAAGCAATTGTTTTTAAGATTAGAATTTAAGTTACAGTTTCTTAGATGCATTTGCATAATGACATTTGGTGTTTTAAAATAATTGCTGGGCTTCTGAAGGACTTACCTCTCCTTCATGTGAAAAGGTGGAAGATAGCTTGGAAGAATAATGTGCATGTTTCCTACATACCACACCCCATGGGGCCTTCTATTTTTCCCTGGCTACACCATACCAACCTGTAGCCCACCTTATAAACAGCCCCCCTGCCACTTACTTGGTCCTCTTAATAACTGCCATCCAGTTCCTAGACACCAGTGTTCCTAAAGGATATCCCCAAACATACCAACCCAATCTTTAGTACTGTGAACACTTCCATTTACCCCAAAACTCTCCCATTCTGTTCATAATTTTTTTAATTTTTTTTTTTTTTTTAAAGGGAAATTTTAACCCTTTGAAGCAGGGAGGGGGGACGGGGGGAACCATTGTTCTGTAAATTTCCCTGTTGGGCTTTTTCTTACCTGGAATCCAGCACCAGGAAAGCTCCCGGTGTTGACTGCCACACACCCCATTCTCACGCCACAGGGGCCTTGTGCGGTCCAATCACAGGCTTCTTGTGGAGAAGATTGTGATTGGACCAAATGCCGTCTCAGAGTGCACGCACACATTCCAGGAAGGGGAGGGAGTTTTTTTTGTTTTTTAAACTGTCTGCAGTGAATGGAGGCGGGAGGCAGTGCCCACAGAGAGGGGAGAGCTAGATTTTTAATGTCTGTTGCCAGCGTGCAGTGCGTTCTGATGACAGACTTCCAATATACACGATTGACGTAGAAAGCAAGAAACAGAGTTCTGGGCTGCCAGTGTCACTTGTGCTGGAGGTGCAACTAGCCCCTAGCACACAATTACAAATATCTCTGTATGTGCAGTGTTTCAAGCAGAAACCCTGCACATACATATTCCTACCACCACGACCACTTCAAATCAAGTGGTTGGTCATGGTGGTTAGAGTAACCCTTAAACTGTGTTACTAACATATTTAAACTCCATTAGCCCACCCACTGTGCAGCAGGTAGCGCAAGCATAAATGACTTTCTGGTGTGGCAGGCATCCACTGAAATCAGGAACTTCACATAGGAATACATTTTTATTTCTAACTTATTAATATTTGCATATTTGAACATAAGTGAATAAGAAAGCTACGCTGTTACTGATACACCAATTTTTCCAGGTTTGACCAAGACTTGCACTTACAAGGTTACATAATCCTTAGAACTTTTTTTTTTTTTTTTTTTTATGAATAATGGCCTATTGGGCATTTTTCCTTAGGCACCCCTCTTCCAAGCAGTAAAAATAAGTTATAAAATACGTTTTCCATGCACCCTCCCGACTTCACCGGTCAAATCAAACAGCTTCTCATAGGGAAGCCTTTGATTGGACAGTATAGCCGGCACAGAGCCGGTGTCAGGAGGGATTCTTGAAAAATTAAAAAACTTAGCTGAGGGATAGGGAGGCAGGAGGGCTGCGTGACAAGACAAGAGTGCAAAGTCTGCAGAGCCTGCAAGGGGATCATCAAATTAAGTCTTTGCCAGCATGCAGTGCGCACTGATGACCGGTGTAAAATATGCACAGAATTGACATTTGGCAGTCCAGACAAAGTTTCAGGCTCCGAAAGTTACTTGTGCCGGCAGTGTAACAAGCCCCCAGCACACAAATGCAAATAACTGAAACAGCAAGATTCCTTCCTCCATAACCACTTTCAAAAGCAGACGTGGTCATGGACATTGGAGTAACCCTTTAACACTGTGTTGCTGCAATGCATCAAGAAACCAATATAGAGAAAATCAATAAACTGAATTAAACCACAGCTATTGGATTTGGAATCATTTTAAATTAATTCGTACCATCATTTGTACATTAACTGAATTTAACACAAACATTAAGTGTAGTACAGCTGCATTTACTAAACATGTTAAACCCATCATCCTTTAAGAAATAAACCAAGGTTTAAAAACCAGATCCAGCAGTGTAGAGCGAGCTGAGACTTTAAATTTGGTGTTTGGTATTCGTTAGGAATACACAGAGATCGGAGTAATTGATCAATTAAACAGGTACAAACATATACCAAGTATTTACATGTATTATCTTCAATGCAGGTTCCCCCATACCTAGATAAAAAGAAATAATTTGGTTATAATGTAGGGATACTGCAAATTGAAAATGGCTCAACATAGGACCATTTTTAATGGTTTATTGAATTGCGTACAGATATGGTCAGGACAGATACATATAAGGCTATTAGATCGATTATTTCAAATTCCTTTATATTTCTCATGTATTTTCTAAAATTAAAGGAGCACTATAAGGTCAGGAACACAAACATGTATTCCTGACCCTGTAGGGTTAAAACCACCATCTAGCCACCCTGGTCCCCTCAGGCCTCCCTAAAAAATTTAAAATCTTACTGTATTCAAGTCTGGAGCTGCCAGCTCTGGCTCTGTTTCCTTTAGACCTGCCCACTGCCTGCTGACATCAGCAGAAGTGGTAGCCTGATCCAATCACAATGCTTCCCCATAGGATTGGCTGAGACTGACAAGGAGGCAGATCAGGGGCAGAGCCAGCATTATTCAAACACAGCCCTGGCCAATCAGCATCTCCTCATAGAGATGAATTGAATCAATGAATCTCTATGAGGAAAGTTCAGTGTCTGCATGCAGAGGGAGGAGACACTGAATGTTTGGATGCATTTTAGGCAGCCATGACCCAGGAAGGATCTCTAACAGCCATCTAAGGAGTGGCCAGTGAAGTTATCACTAGGCTGTAATGTAAACACTGCATTTTCTCTGAAAAGACAGTGTTTACAGCAAAAAGCCTGAAGGTAATGATTCTACTCACCAGAACAAATTCAATAAGCTGTAGTTGTTCTGGTAACTATAGTGTCCCTTTAATGAATAGCAGTGAAGGCTAACCTTTTCGTAAAATTTTTCATTCTGTAGTGTATTGCACATAAACAATTATCTTAATGAGACAGTTTAAATCAATTCTGTCTACCTAGTGTTTAGAACAGCTTGCTAGTAAGTAATCAATACTGAAATGCTTTAGAATAGTTGTAAATGTAAGAAAAGCAGCAAAAAGCTGAAAATATTTTTTTTTTTTTTTAGGTTTCGTACTTTCATCCATTTACTGGAATGCAATTCAATCTCGGACAATTTTTCCTCCCGAAGACTGGCCACTGTATCATTACAGGGACTGTCAAAACACAGCTTACATGTACACTAACTATTGGCATTAATATAAACTTTTTAAAACAAAGTTATATTATGGCAGTGTGTTATGACAATAGTGGCAACTCTTCAAGACCGTAAATAAAACAAAAACAGCAATGCTTCTGCAAGCAAGTTCAGTTTTTATAAAAGAGTAATAACAGATATATGTATTATGTGAATTTATTAGGCATGGTTCTATTGTCATATCTATTTCCAGGAAGAGTGCATTTTTGGAAGGCTGCATGGTAACACTTCCTTTAAAGGGAAACTCCAGTGCCAGGAAAACAATCAGTTTTCCTGGCACTGCAGGTCCCCTCTCCCTCCCACCCCCCAATCCCTGGTTGCTGAAGGGATGAAAACCCCTTCAGTCATTTACCAGAGGCAGCGACGATGTCCCACGTCGCTGCTTCTTCCTCCGCCGCTCCTCCTAGTGATTGCGTCGGCCGGTGGGTGAGACTGATTCCGCCCACTGGCCGGGGAGACCTAATGCGCATGCGCATTAGCGCTCCCCAGAGGAAAGCATTGAAAATGCATTTCGGTGCTTTCCTATGGGGAAATGAGCGATGCTGGAGGTCCTCACACAGTGTGAGGACGTCCAGTGACGCTCTAGCACAGGTTTTCTGTGCTATAATCCAGGAAGTGCCCTCTAGTGGCTGTCTAGTAGACAGCCACTAGAGGTGGAGTTAACCCTGCAAGGTAATTATTGCAGTTTATAAAAAACTGCAATAATTACAGTTGCAGGGTTAAGGGTAGTGGGAGTTGGCACCCAGACCACTCCAATGGGCAGAAGTGGTCTGGGTGCCTGGAGTGTCCCTTTAAACTCAAACAATATTTGATTGTTATTCTAATTTGCTGGTTAGTGGGTTTTTTTTTTCCCCACGGCCAATCATAACACAACTTAAATGTTAAAGAACGTGGCTAGTGTTTATAATGGTCATTTAGCTAGTCCGCCTGACTAGCAGGGTCTGGATTCCAGTTTCAGGCCTTTAAAAAAAAAAAAAAAAAAAAGCATAAAAAATAATCTCAGGTCTTCACAGTTTAATTTAATCACTAACACCTCTTTAATAAAATGTATTAAAACTGCTAAACAGAGCTACACTAGTGTCTTCAAGATCCAGGAAATCAAATGCAGAATCGTTGCGGTGAGCAAACCCTTTTCTAAGATAAAGGTGTATGTACAAGATATCTGCAAGGCATTTAAAGGTGAGTAAGCAATAGAGCCACCTGACAGACAGAATATTTAATTGTTTACTTAAATATTGTGATTATGATTTGGATTTGTTTCATTTAAATTCTTTATTTTATTGTGCATGAAAAAAATACAATGAGACAGGCAATGCCACAATAGCGATTATCAACATGTAAGAACAATTGCGTGGCAAATCTAAACATTGCACATTTTATGGTTTTACGTAATGTAGTTTCATCAAGAGTTAAATCAACGTGTCCGTTACGAGTGAGTGCTTATGAGTTACAGATTCAGATTTCCAAACTGACTATGTTGTAAAATTTTAAGGTTACAAGCTTAGCTACGATTATTATTAGAGTAAGTTACCACCATGCAGAATACAGCATGTTGTGCTATCAGCAGGGCCGGACTGGGGAAAAAATTAGGCCCGGGCATTTTTCAATCACAGAGGCCCCCTAAGAAGGGGGCGGGGCCAGAGAGTGTGTGTTTTGTCATCACTAATGACAAGCACGCCCCCTCTCAAAGTGAGCATGTTGGTTCAATGCGCAGAGCTGCGCTGAAGAGCTCTGGCATTAGAAAAAGGCCCTGAATTTGTTCTGCGCAGCGCAAGCAAATTTAATAACATGCTTGCGCTGTGTTTGCTTTTAAATTGTCTCTGGAGTCTCCACAAGTGGGATACCAGAGGACAAAAGGGCCAGGAAAGTGTATGGTGCATGTGTTTGGAGCCTGCTTGTGGGATTGCGTGTGTGTAGAGTGTGGTGTGGTATTGTGTAAATAGGTCAATTTCATATGTGTTTGTGGTGTAATATGTGTGGCTAGGGGCTGTAGAGAGTGTGTGTATAGGTGGCATAGTGTTATAGGGGATGTAGCGAGTGTGTGCATACGGGCTGTAGTGTGTGTGTATAGGTGACGTAGTGTGTGTAGGGGTTGTAGAGAGGGTGTGTTTAGAGAATGTTGTATGTGTTTGCTGACAAGGAATGTAGTGTGTGTGTAGGTGGTGCAGTGTGTGTGTAGGAGATCTAGTGTGTAAAGGACCCAGAGTGTGTATAGGAGATTGTGTGTGTGTGTGTGTGTATAGAGGATTAAGAGTGCATATAAGGTAAGGGATCTAGCGTGTATCTGGAGCGTAATGTATGTAGTGCTGTAGTGTGTGTGTGTGTGTGTGTGTGTGTATATATATATATATATATATTTGGATGTATTGTATGTGTGAGGGGCGCAGTGTGTGTGTATGTAAGAGGGGTGCTGTGTGTGAGGGTGTTTTTATCTGCCGTCACATTCTAATTTTCTTTGTCTGTTAACTTACTGAGGGTTATTTTATATATTATATATATATATCTGTAAATATATATATATATACATACATATATATATATATGTGTGTGTGTG